GCAATAGGGTGAACTATTTAGACAGGAGAAAAGTTGTCAACAAAATCTCATGTGGGTCGTGAGATGCCGTTTATTGGAGTCAGACTGGAAAATCCGCCTCCGCGCGCATTCGCGAACACCAATTGGCGGTATGAAGACGAGACCACCTGTACTAAGTCGCCATACATACACTGGGCACTTGGCACACCTTTGCATGAGACACAACTCATATCGTCGCTGTCTGCTCTTTCAAGAAAGGTAGTGAATTCCTCGAGGCTCTGCACTCTGAAACGCCATACATCAACAAGCACATCAAGTTGGGTTTTTCGTACAAGGGTCTCAAGCAGAAGTGGGTGAGACCTGAGTCAATCTGAATGGGATGAGATACGCTGCAACAGCCTATTGGCGCAAGCCGCACGCCATTATCGATTTTCCCATGCATTCTATCTGGCGTTTTTACTTAACTCTGCGTCTAACGACGAGCTGGGCCTTCAGTCTCGAATATTCACGCAATAAACTCTATATCCCGAAGAAAGTTTTCAACTTCAATATAGTATCAATATCATTTTATCGACAGAAAGATAGGCGAACGCCTTTGAACTCCCTATTGGTAACAAGATGATAGAAAATAAACGGATACAAAGAAAACTTTAAAAAGTACGTCAATTACATGTTCCGGGAAGACACCACAGTTGTTAGGTGGTCGAAATAGTAACAAAAATATGACTACTGACATAACTGATGTTTCATAAACTCTTGCCACCTATAACTCTTGCTTGTTTTGTCGTCGCTTTTCTCCCTGAAGAATGACTTCCATACGAGTTCGAAAAATCAAATGAATAAGGAAATAGTACTGGCAATCGAACAGATTTCTTCATCCCCATCTTTACATACACCCAGAATGTGAACCTTCGCCTCAGTTTTATTATAGTCTGACTACTAGGAAGAAACCTGCGCCGCAAACCTCATGCAGCTATGTGTGCACAAAATTCAATCCACACGGGGTTGTTATTAAAAGCTATCCGCCAGTACGAAGTTTCTTGCCCAATGTACCTTCAATACCTGTCTTTGTATAGGCCTCACACAATCCTGTCTTCTTTTAGGGTCAGCTGGAGAAGATGTTCTTTCTCTACCCGGACCCGCATTTCAAACGGCATAAGCACAAGTGGCGCATTATCTCTTGTGCCCTGCTTACCATGTACGCCTATCTGATGCAACCAGGTGGTCGCCTCTACACTGTCACTGACGTGCCCGATCTCGCAGAATGGATGCTGGCCAAGCTCCGCGCCCATCCGCTCTTCCGCGAGTGTCATCACCTCGTACTGCCGTCGCCG